AGTCATGAGCCGCCCCTGCCCCCCGCTAGTTCACGATGTAATGAATTTTGTTAATTTAACTGCCGTAAAAGAACTATTAGCAATTTTGTGTGAGAAATTAAGAAGTGTTATGATTTATAATGTAAGACTTACGTATTAGCATCCAGAAACTTATTCATAACTTGTAAACAAAGGGTGTTATCCTGACTGACTGAATTTTATGAAATCTCCTAGTAAATGTCCGTGACATTGTGTTAGAACCAGTTAACGATTAAAATCTTAACCCGATCGGTGAATTTTACAAACAATAAAACAACACTTTTTCTGATTAAAAAGCAGCAAGAATTAGCTGCGCGTATTGGGGAAAACTGTGACGTCATCGTTACGATTAATTTTCGTTGAACAAAGGCTTTCTCCCTTTTATTAACTACCAAACCAACTAATTTGACCTAGCTAACTTACAGCGTCTTTTTACCATGCACCCACACACACCACCCAATCAAGAATGACGCTTTCGCCATGCCGCTATCTTGTCTACCAACCAACCCTCTAACTAAAATCCCCTAGCGAGCTACCAACTACCTTTGTACTCAGTTTCTAAAAATTCACATTTTTAGGGATTACCTATACTTGCATTAAAACGAGTAACCCAATGTCCGTTGAAAGAGGGTCAGTACTATTTTCTAGACAGTTTAATACTTGAATCCATGAACCTATACCAACAATTTTGCTTTTAATGGCCTGTATATTGACCCTTTTCCTGTAAGATCGTAAAACTTCCATAGTGACTTTCCGTGCGCACGCATCTTCAAAAGAATGCAACCGGCTACACATGCGTAATCTGTCGCTCATTGGTTAATTTTAACTTGGCGCTCCAAAAATCTGACTTCGCCTGCGCGATGTTGTCTCACTCTGTATCATTGGAATTTATATAATGTCTACTCACTTTGCTTACAGGAAAAGGGTCAATTACAGGTATGTTACAGGCGACCTTATATCTTTAAATCGAATAGCAATAGGTAGCTATTGAAATTTTGTAAGTGCGGTTGCTTTTAGCTTGAGGGGGGAGCTTAATTTAGTACACTCCCAATATGACATATACAGGGTCGGTCATTAAACGCGCGTTATACGGTACCATAGTCATTATTGAAAATATAAAAAATCAGAGACTATAGTTGGACGGTTCTTAAAGTGCCATACACTAAAATTACTTTCAACTATACAGAGTGTTCTGTTTTCGGGAGGTAACAGAAAACTTAGTTGTTTTAGGTAGAAGTAAAAAGTAAGTGTTTGATATATTTTCACCGGTTTGTTCGAACGTTTTAAAACCGTAGTTTATCTTTTAAATTCTATTTCAACGTTGGCATGTTGTTGCAATTTTCTTGACATTTTTTAGCAATGCAATGGTTCACAAAAAAAATCTCAATGAGGTTATTTTTAACATCTGTGTTACAAAAATTTGTGGACAGGATAAACAAAGATAAGCGCTTTGTTGTGGTGTAGCTAAAATTGGGCCTTAGTATACAGGATGTTTATAAAAAAATAAAAAAATATCACAAATTCCAACTATCGATTTCACAGTTTTTTCAAATGCATTTTTTATTACATCTTCTTTCTGCGATTTTTCACTTACATATCAAAAGAAAGAGAATAAAAAATGATAATAAAATACAGGGTGCTTAACTTGAATAATCCGATTGTAATTTTTTTGTGAACTCCTGCATTGCTAAAACTTTTTAATAAAATTGCAGTAATGTGGCAACATCACATCAAAATTTCAAACTGCGCCATGGTTGTAGAGTCTAGGAGGAGCCTATTCAGAGTAGGTAATATATATAGTGAACCAAGACCTATAAGGTTATATGGCCATCATAAAAGTAGTTGACCGCAAATAAATACCCCCTTTGTGTGGTTCGCACTAAGCTTACCGGTTGGCAATAAATCATCTTCTAAACATTTCTTGCTCATATTTAACAGGGTCGGCTTTCAAAGCGAGTGGTTATTTCGGAACCCTCAGCGGCTGCAGGTAGTAAAGAAATAGTGGAGTGGTGGATTTTCATATTTAGTGAAAGCCGCCCCTGAACGAAACCACAAGAGCCGGTCGAGCTGCAGTGGACACGTTATTTACGACCCTAAAACCTTTTCTATTGTAAACAACTTAACTTCGACACAATGGGATGCTTTTATGATGGCCATATAACCTTATAACTCTTGGTTCACTATATATAGCATGTTTCGTTAAAAAAACAAGCTGTATGTTACGCCTCAAAAGCACAACACTCTGTAGAGTTGAAAAGAATTTTAGAGTATGGTACTCCAAGAACCATATAACTTTGTAAGATCTATCATTTAAGCACATGTTCGAATTGTCGCCCTTCACACTTAACACAAAACATCTTTACACTAATTTTTTTAGATATCACCACAAAAATTAATAGATTTTTCAGAACACAAAAAATCTACTAATTGCGATACACAGCAAAGAAATATTATAGTGGTTCAAGATCTCTGTTAACATAAAAAAAAATAGCGTAGTAGTACAGTTTATTATTTATAGTTAAAACTAATATCACACATATAAGTGTTTTATGTTATTATAATCATAGTTTACTGATTAAAAAAATATACAATGCAATTTAAATACATATAGGTTTGGGTCGCGACGCCGACATCATGTATGCGTCATATTTATTTGTAATGATGTAGGTATACTATCCTCAAACATATTTGGCGTTTATGACTTCACACCAATTTGACTCCCATTATAATTCAATAGGCCGTCACAACCGGATGTCTTAAACCCGCTCACCGATACCTACCTGTAAAGACCTTTTCTGGTAAAAGCACAGGGCAGGACTGAGTTTTGCATGCTGGCTCCAACCGTGGTTTTGTGGACAACGCTTTGCTTTTATCAGCAAAAAATGTCAAAGATGCGACACTCGATTATCACGATAATATGACGGCTGAAATGTTTGAAACATGGTTTGATAAACAGTTGCTTCCTAACTTACCCCCAAACAGTGCGATTGTGTTAGATAACGCAAGTTATCATTCAGTGCAATTGAAAAAAATACCCAACACAAGTTCTAAGAAAGAAGAAATTCAAAATTTCCGTACAGAACATGATTTATACTTTGAAGAAAATTACACAAAGACACAATTATTAGAAGTGTTACATACTCGAAAATTTGAGAAACAATATAAAATAGATGCTATGGCGCGAGATCGTGGATTTAGGGTGATTAGACTTCCGCCGTACCATTGTATATTTAACCCCATCGAACTAATCTGGTCGCAAATGAAAAATAATATAAGAAGGAATAATACGGCACCAAAATTTAGTAGTGCAACAATTGACATAATTAGGGAAGAAGCTTCCAAAATAACTGCCGAAATGTGGGCCAATTGTGTACGACATTCCACAAAAGAAGAAGACCAGTACAGGGCACGGTTGATAACACCGTTAATTATTAATTTAGAAGAGTCGAGTGATGATGACAGTGACTATTTCGATCAATAAATAAGCAGTAGTAGTTAATAAGTAAATAGCTGTGCTGTAATAAAAAATGATTGAGTACAAAGTTACTTTGTTTTTACTTAAAATAAAAAACTCGAAAGGCGCAGTTGTCGGTAAATGCAAAACTCAGTCCTGCCCTGTGCTTTTACCAGAAAAGGTCTTTTCAGGTAGGTATCGGTGAGCGGGTTTAAGACATCCGGTTGTGACGGCCTATTGAATTATAATGGGAGTCAAATTGGTGTGAAGTCATAAACGCCAAATATGTTTGAGGATAGTATAATGTACTACATTAAGCTTCCCCGTTCAAGCTAAAAACAATGACGTTTAAAGAATTTCAATACTTGTATCCATCCGTTCTCAAGTTTTAAAGCTGCGAAGTTCTTTCTGGGCGCCTGGATGTCGCTTCTGCCAGCACTTGAATCCACAAAAATTTGTTTTCCCTGCAACTATCTCCTATAAAGACAATAGTAAAATTTGAATTTCAATTATATTCGTGAAAGATAATATTTATACAAAATGATAGCTGCACATTTTTCATTGTCGATACATTCGTTTCGATTATTTTCACTTGTCCCTACATCATTCCGAAATTGTTGAGACGACTTTGCAAGCATAATGTAAATATGTACGTGTTTACACAGTTAGAGTGTTGAATTGTAGTTAAACGTCTAAAAAGAAGGCAACTTTGAGGAAATGTTAACATAATAAATATAATTTACTCTAAAACGGGGACATCTCGGGATAAAACCAGACGCCCAGTAACCTTACTAGCTAGTGTGTTGGAGTTGAATGAATGTAGTTTGTATTGTTGGTTTCATAGATACAGGGGCTATTAATCCAAAGTTTCCGATTGTAGACACGCGCTGTTATGCGATCTTTTTCAGTTGATTAAATTAATATTGGAGTAATCTGAAGTGATTATTATTGTTGTTGTTGTTTATCTCACATGTTTTTCGTCCGTCGACAAACGGGAAACAATCTATTTGAAACTATCAACCCGACAAAACAAAAAAAAGCTCCACGAGTGGCTATAAATAAGAGATATTGATGTTGCAAAATGTAATCCCATTATAAAGTGAATCAATAACTGCACTCCAACCGGCAGCAGACCAATCGATGGCAGAAATAATACGTGGATGTACCCCATGTATTCCCGGATAGCGTGCTCGGAATCACTTTAAACCAAATGCGTGTCTAAAATGAATAAAACAATACACAACACATCCAATAGCTGGCACAGGATGTTATTGGTACCAATTCGCCTCTAGAACAAAAGCCCAAAATTCAGTGTTTTTCACGAATAAATTAGTTTAATCCCTTGGACGCTCCGTGAACGACTACGTCATCGCTCGTCTATATTTTAGTGAAGATTTAGATTTGCAAAAACAAAGCAAAGTCCAAGGCACTAAAATAGAGCATCACGTTGTTTTTAGCGCGTGATTTCAAACATCACGTGTGAATAATGCGCTCACGAGATGTCGCCAACGTCACCCAATCAGTAATGGCGTAGGGAGCGAATGTGGTGGAGCAGCTGACTAGATCGTTGCACAACCTTATTGTGATGTTGTGCCAAAGCAGGTCCTCGGTGGAGATTCAAGATTACTGACTGACACACGGTGCTAACGGAACGATGTGTTTGTTATTGTGATAGCCTGACATTCGAGTGATTTTTCAAACGCTTCTTCATTATATAATGCACTCATTGTGGTTAACTGGGAGACTGATTTCTCGTGCTATTTTCAATGGGATCACCAACTTTTCCACGGCGGCCGATCCGAACGTCCAGAGGACACCCGACCCCCAACTCGTGTCGGCCGTTTGTGGCTTTCCCAAGGAGAGAGGAATACAGAGACTGATCAAGGGACAGTTCGGGGATGACGCATGGTTCACCGCCAAACACAAGTCCGCCGATGTTTTGGGTTAGTATAACATAACCTTTAAACCTGTGACGTCATTCGAAGTCACGTGAGGAGACCTCCCCGACAGGGGCCATTGCCTCCCCGCGAACGGCCATTGGGGCACCGAAACACGTGATTTAGCTATTCTAGGCTTGTTTTTCGTGGAAAATTTAAGATAGCGTGTGATTGGCCTAGTTTTCAATCCATCGATCGGATTGTTTCTATCGGTTGTGTCAATATTTATGTGAACTGATTTATTTCTATTGTGATGTGGTCATTTTTATTGTTACGACGTCACGCATTCCTTTTCCTGTATCGTGACGACCAGTTTGACAAGTTCGGTATATTTTGGTTAAAGCACGTGTATGACATTTTTACCAACATTGGATATATTTTGCTCGAATTCATAGCTGATTCATAAGGATTTTGGTGGTCATGAGTTAAATCAATTTGCATATTATGTATAGTTGTTGATAATTTTGAGGGGGTGAAATCTTTATGGAAACCCGGTGGTATACAAAAGTTGTATACATTAGCCATTAGTTGCGTGTGAATACCCAATTCATGTAGTCGTTATTCCTTAAGTGTAAATTTGATACATATAGATTGGTGATAATGGTATGAACTTACAGTATAATTATGATTTAAGGTGGTATTTAACATTCACAAATCATCGCTACTTCGCAAGAGATTGTAAAGTGTTATCGAACGGATTTAGCATTACGGGACGATAAGTGAATTTATTTTTATTTTCGATAATGGAACGAAGTAATAATAATGATAATTATTATTATTATTGAATAATAAACCCACAATCAGGTACCAAATTTTATATTTTGTGAAATACAAAACACGATTTCAATCACATTTCGTTTGAGATGTCAGTCGTCGTTCAGGAAATAATCACTGTCAAGTAAATCAGTAATTAATGCCGGTTGTCTATAAATATGGTACATGGTGCACAGAATTGGACCAACTGGTAGTTATTTTCGAAACTTCTTCCGGGATGGTTATTGTATGTATGTAATTAATTTTGGCTCAGTATTTTTTCTTCTCATGTAAAAATCAGTTCAGTGGGAATAAAAATACGGTGAACGTGGGTAGCTGTAGAACGTTTGTTTTTGTAGTTGAACTATGCAAGTTTTACTGATTTTTCTTCCCGGGCGTAAACCGAGGAAGTATTGCGATAGGATACATCCAATTAATGCCTGCTTTCATGTTTTCTCGACGTTTAATGGCCTGCTTGAGAGCGAGAAAGTAGGCCCTCTGTTTCTGTCTGTCAGTGGTCTGTTGGCGATTTCATTAGATAGATAACGTTCGAAACTAATGGACTGATTTTTGTGAAATTTTGTATGTATTTTAGGAACATCAAGACCTTTACAACTTGTCATCTATAGAGACAAATTTAATGTAATAACCAGACTTCGGCATCGCGGAAGTGATACTCATTGCCGTCCGATCGCCATCGTTATTGCAGTCGTGGCCGACAACTTCGGGAATTCTTAATAACAAGTACTACTTTTTCGAGATTTTCCTCAGTTATACGAGTTCTCCTAGATGTTAAAATGCTTTAAAAATTAAAAATGACTGTTGAACGTCACAATTTTCGTGATCAAGATAAACCTTGAATTGCATCAAACGCCACTGAGGTTGGGACTGCACAGTCGGCCAGGCAAATTTATCGCCTGACGTCTCGTCGTCGTATTTAACGTTTGTCTGATTGACTCCTCATTATTTCGGCTTTCCTAACTCTGATTATAATTATATGTGGTGTTAATTTCAGTTCTCAAATAATTCATCTGTCGTATTTTGCTGGTATCAATTCATGCGTCTTTTATGAATTTTATAGATAAAGGCAAATAAAAAATCGAGACATCCAGAAATCGAAAAGCTGAAAAATCCAGGAATCGAAACAAAAATTGAAAAACTGAAACATCGAAAAATTGACACATCAAAAGATTGTGAAATGGAAAAGTCGAAAAATTGACAAATCGAAATGGCCCAAAATCGAAAAACCAAGAATTGAAAAATTTGCAATAAAAAAATATCTAAAACAGGAACAGTCGAGAAATTGAATAATTGAAAAATTAAAATATCGAGAAATTGAAAAGTTATTAAATCGAAAAACTGAAACATCGAAAAATTGAAAAAAAGAAATATCGAAGAACTGAAAAATCGAAAAATCCAGGCATTCCGAAAATATAAAATTAAAAAAATTGAAAAATTAAAAAATCGGAACGACGAAAAATTTAAAAACTGAAACATCGATACTTCAAAACATCAAAATATCGAGAAAGCAAAAAGTCAAAAAGATACGAATTGAAAAATTGCAAAATTTAACATTAAAAAAAAATGAAAAATCGGAAAATTGAACAATCGAAAAATCAAAAATTGTTACAAACGAAAACTTGAAAAACCGAAAAATCGAAAACCGAGAAGTCGAAAAATCGAGAAATCGAAATATCATGAAACTGAAAAATCTAAAACTTTAAAACTCGAAAAGTTTAAAAACAAGTACATATTGAAAAAGCAAAAAATCGAAAAATGAATAAAAAAAACTGAAAGTTGAAAAATTGAGAAATCGAAATGCCGAAAAGTCGAAAATTCGGAAAATCAGGAAATCGAAAAATTGGGACAAACAGAAATCGAAAAATATATAATTTTAAAAATCAAAAAGCTGAAAAATCGAGAAATTGAAAGATTCCAAAACTGAAATAAGAAAAACTGGGTAAATCGAAAAGCCGAAACTTCAAGAATTGAAAAATCGGGAATTCGAAACAAAAATTGAAAAACTGAAACATCGAGAAATTGAAAAATCCAAATGTTGAACAACTGAAAAATCGAAAAATCCACACATCCCGAAATCGAAAAATCTAAAATTAAAAAAATTGAAAAATTTAAAATCGGAACAACGAAAAATTTAAAAACTGAAACATCGAGACTTCAAAACAACAAAAGATCGAAAAGGCAAAAAGTCGAAAAGATACTAATTGAAAAATTGCAAAATTTGAATTTAAAAAAAAAATTGAAAAATCGGGAAATTGAACAATCGAAAAATCGAAAATCGAGAAGTCGAAAAATCAAGAAATCAAAACATCATGAAATTGAAAAATCTAAAACTGAAAGACTTGAAAAATTTAAAAACAAGTACATTTTGAAAAATCAAAAAATCAAAGATCAAAAATTTTTAAAATCGAAAAAGCAAAAAATCGAAAAATGAATAAAAAACACTGAAAGTTGAAAAATTGAAAAATCGAAATGCCGAAAAGTTGAAAATTCGGAAAATCAGGTAATAAAAAATTGGGACAAACAGAAATCGAAAAATATGATTTTAAAAATCAAAAAGCTGAAAAATCGAAAAATTGAAAGATTGCAAAACTGAAATAAGAAAAGCTGGGTAAATCGAAAAGTCGAAACTTCAAGAATTGAAAAATCGGGAATTCGAAACAAAAATTGAAAAACTGAAACATCGAGAAATTGAAAAATAGAAATGTTGAAGAACTGAAAAATCGAAAAGTCGAAAATTCGGAAAATCAGGAAATCGAAAAATATATAATTTAAAAAATCAAAAAGCTGAAAAATCGAGAAATTGAAAGATTCCAAAACTGAAATAAGAAAAACTGGGTAAAATGAAAAGTCGAAACTTCAAGAATTGAAAAATCGGGAATTCTAAACAAAAATTGAAAAACTGAAACATCGAGAAATTGAAAAATAGAAATGTTGAAGAACTAAAAAATCGAAAAGTCGAAAATTCGGAAAATCAGGAAATCGAAAAATATATAATTTAAAAAATCAAAAAGCTGAAAAATCGAGAAATCGAAAGATTCCAAAACTGAAATAAGAAAAACTGGGTAAAACGAAAAGTCGAAACTTCAAGAATTGAAAAATCGGGAATTCTAAACAAAAATTGAAAAACTGAAACATCGAGAAATTGAAAAATAGAAATGTTGAAGAACTAAAAAATCGAAAAATCCAGACATCCCGAAATCGAAAAATCTAAAATTAAAAAAATTGAAAAATTTAAAATCGGAACAACGAAAAATTTAAAAACTGAAACATCGAGACTTCAAAACAACAAAAAATCGAAAAGGCAAAAAGTCGAAAAGATACGAATTGAAAAATTGCAAATTTTAAATTTAAAAAAAAATTGGAAAATCGGGAAATTGAACAATCGAAAAATCAAAAATTTTTAAAAACGAAAACTTCAAAAACTGAAAAATCGAAAACCGAGAAGTCGAGAAATCGAAATATCATCAAATTGAAAAATCTAAAACTTAAAAACTTGAAAAATTTAAAAACAAGTACATATTGAAAAATCAAGAAATCAAAGATCAAAAATTTTTTAAATCGAAAAAGCAAAAAATCGAAAAACGAATAAAAAAAACTGGAAGTTGGAAAATTGAGAAATCGAAATGTCGAAAAGTCGAAAATTCGGAAAATCAGGAAATCGAAAAATTGGGACATCCAGAAATCGAAAAATATATAATTTAAAAAATCAAAAAGCTGAAAAATCGAGAAATTCAAAGATTCCAAAACTGAAATAAGAAAAACTGGGTAAATCGAAAAGTCGAAACTTCAAGAATTGAAAAATCGGGAATTCGAAACAAAAATTGAAAAACTGAAACATCGAGAAATTGAAAAATAGAAATGTTGAAGAACTAAAAAATCGAAAAATCCAGACATCCCGAAATCGAAAAATCTAAAATTAAAAAAATTGAAAAATTTAAAATCGGAACAACGAAAAATTTAAAAACTGAAACATCGAGACTTCAAAACAACAAAAAATCGAAAAGGCAAAAAGTCGAAAAGATACGAATTGAAAAATTGCAAATTTTAAATTTAAAAAAAAAATTTTAAAATCGGGAAATTGAACAATCGAAAAATCAAAAATTTTTAAAAACGAAAACTTCAAAAACTGAAAAATCGAAAACCGAGAAGTCGAGAAATCGAAATATCATCAAATTGAAAAATCTAAAACTTAAAAACTTGAAAAATTTAAAAACAAGTACATATTGAAAAAT